TCAACTGACTAGCGTACCGTGCACGACAAAGAACAGAAAAACTAAAATCATCATACACCTGCAGACACTTAGGGTGAGACAACAGATGAAGAAAAACGGCAGACTTCTTACGATCACAATCACCATCCGATTCCTCGTCTCCACCAACCGCAACCTCGTCCTCCGTCTCATCTTCCAACTCGTCCTCGGTGTCGTCCCCCGTGTCATTCTCCTCATCCACACCGATCGGTCCCAGGCTCGCTTCATGTTGCTTAACCTCTGTTCGTTGACTCCTCCTTTGATCTTGATGGTAATTTATTACCATTGTTGTTGTTATTGTTGTTGTTCCTGTTGTTGTTAAATCTTCTGTTCCCAGTGTCTTCGCCGGTGCTTGACATCCAGTACTGTAATAATTCATTGAATAATTAGCCGTTGATCGTCTAGGTCTTTGAATGTTGATCGTGTTGTTTTCTCTGTTGAATTCCGTTCCCTTCAGCTTTCTTTCTCCTTGTTCATGTTCAGTGCTTACCTCTTCCATATTCACCTGTGCCACCGACCCCACAGACCCAGCCCCAGCACCGCCGATGACAGGTGCAGGTGGCGGTTCCGGGGGAGGCAATGGCAACGACGGCGATGGGGGCATCACCTCATCGCAGCGTCCACTTTGGTCTTGAGCCAGATGTTCTTGTGGCGTACTCTCTTGTGTTGTTATCGTGCATTGTGTTGTGGTGACGATGTGCACATTATTCATCTCCACGGTTCTCGATACGGGTAACGGAGGCACTATTGCCGACGACGGCAATTGTGCTAACGAAGGCTGTGACCGAGGGTTCTTAGGTGGCCTGCCGCGTTTGGGCCGCAGCGCCCGTGCCGAGCCAGTCAGCATGTGCAGTAGGACGTGCTGCTTGATACGTGCGTTCAGATGTTGAAGAGTCCTACCAACGTACCGACTACCGCATTGTCGGCACTCAAATTGGTATACCAATTTAGATGCGAGTTGGGTTGGTAGGACATCCTTCCTCACCGTGAACGCACGTACAGTTGTGAAAACGGGTACAAAATGTACCGCGTAGTACGTTTGTTGTACAATTTTCCGGACCACGCGACTCATGGATAATGAGAGGTTACCTTTCCAAGGGAGAGAAAGATACGTGGGACATTTGTCCGGGCCAAAACGTATTTCCTTACTATGCAGCCTTTCGCTCATGAGCTCCTTCAAGAGATCTTCGGGATACCCGTTCTTGAGGAAAACTGACTTTAGGAAGTCCAGTTCCTCAGCTAGTTTGGAAGAGGAGCAAATACGCTCTGCTCGATCCACCAAGTTACGCACTAAATTCACCTTGTATTGGTACGAACAATACGAGTCAAACATTATGTACTGGCCGGTGAATGTAGGCTTTCTGTACACAGATGTTACTGTACCCTGACTAGACGTTTCCACAAGGACGTGTAGAAAGGGAAGTTTGTTCGCTTGTTCGTGTTCACAAGTAAAACGTATGGAAGGATGTAGGTCATTTAGAATACCAAGAAAGATTTGGCTATCTTCAAGAGAATCAAACCAGGTGAAGGAATCATCAACAAAACGAACGTACAATGCTGGCCACAACTGTTCCGCAATCAGAGACTCGCAGTAACCAACGAACACATTCGCTAACACTGGACCTAATGGAGAGCCCATCGCTACCCCATCAACCTGCCTATACATAGTGTCACTGAAGGAAAACTCCACACCAGTCGTCACGAGCAACATCAGTTCCCGGAACGCCGTCTCCGATATCCACGGTGTATCAACTTCATCATTTCGGTACAACACATCTAGGCAAATATTGATAGTCTCTTCTAACGGAACGTTCCGAAGCACATTTTCGTTATCCAGAGAACACCTTAAAGCTCGACGTGTTCTAATGAACAACAATGATATTAGAATCGCAAGACCTGACAAGGCCCGTTTATATTCCTTCTTGTCATGAGTTCTCACGGAGCAGTAAAACCTTTCGAGGATTTCCGCCAGTACCTTGTCTTCGACAGTAGCAAAATCACAAGACAAGCTCTCCTGCATCAAAAAATCGCTGAACACCTTCAACCAAAACTTCGTTGCAACTTTGGTTGACTTAGGAACTGCTGATTCCAAAAGTTTCTTCCTTTCTTCTTCAGAAACGGACGCAAAACGTCCAGTAGACGTTGAAGAAGCCATTACACTCGTAAACCAAAATAAACAACACGAGGAGAAAGTTGAAACACGAGGAGTAAGTTCGAGCATGCGCCGAAATAGGTACGAAAATCCAAAACGAAAATCGGTTTTATAAGTATAATTTAAATAAAATACATACTTCGTCCTCGTGTTTACTCGAATTATAAAAAAACTCCACAAAATCCTCGGCTTCGCCTTGGGTTTTGTGTCGGTTTTTTATTTCTCGTAAACACCTCGGACTCAGTATGTATTTTATGTATAGTGGATAGTGGGAAGTCCCAGCTTTTTGGCAACAATCCGCTACACTCATGAGGTAGGTACATGTACATGAAGATCTACGTGCAACCCTCCTCGTGTTACCAGATTACTGGATCTCTTTGTGTAGACAGTCACACGTAACACTTTTTAGCACAAAGCTGTTGCAAAATTCGCATCGAGGATTTGCAAGGAGGAAACTGTTTTGTCCAAAACATAGAGTCATGGAGGAGAAGTGAATATCGAAAAGCCGAAGAGAAGTTTCTCGTTGTGCCGCAGGCTCTGAAGATACCGGCAGCGTCACTAGGCTAATAGCGACATTGAAGTAGACGCCGGTCCTTGGCTTTAAAAGAACGTTTTACCAGGCTGAAAGAGCAGCTACAAGCAGAAAGAGATGCATGTTGTTCTGACGAGCTGCCTTTGCGGAATCCAGCCGAACTGGCTCGAAAAGAACTAGAATTACTCATGGATTCAGCACCAAGTCGTTATGAGCACTCTGCAGCAGCAGCGCGTGTCTGAGTTTCCTGATGAAACACGCACGTACAGTCAGTTATATGTACATGTGGACAACTGTACTCCCAAGACAGCAGTGACTGAGTAAAGTGATATCAAGAAAGAAAAGTATTCTTGTCAATGTTGCCACTCAGTTGTCTACGCAACGCCACAAGGAGAAGAAGACTATAAAAGTAAAGGAAGTAGAGCAGGAAAATAATCTGGCCACATTTTTTTCACGCTCACCGCAAAAGGAAGGGATCTGGATCCAAGATCAGCCTAATATCTGCTGTTTCGGATGAAAAGATTATTCACAGAACCAATGCAGTGACAGCTTATCTGCAGGCAGGCCTACCAGTTGCCATGATAAACCTCATCCCAATGATCCCTAACATAGTTTACACCTTTCACTCCCTGGATAATGCCGTGATAGTATAGTGATATACACTATTCAGCCATAGCCCTGCGTCAAAGCTGCAATGGAGAGCAGCCACCGGCGAATCGGTTATGTCTTATAGTGCTACAAGGTGGTGGAGCTTGTGGAAAATATTGCGCTGGATTCGGCCGGAGATTGAATATGTGCAGCATTTCTTCCTTTCTGACCCAAGACAAGAGCATTATAGCCCTTGTTGAAGCATTATAATCAGCATTATGAGGTAGTTTATGGAGCATTATGATTAGCATTATACGAACATTTTTGGACCATTATCCGCTGGACCCTAGCTATAGGTAGCGTTGCGTTTGGTGGCCAAGCCGTGCGCCAGCCTCTTGACTACCACAGCGGCTTCTGGGCCCATGCTAGCACAGGAATCTGAGGAGGAGAGCACTAACGCACTAACGGTGTGAAGGGGCCATGCTCGACTTCATTGACACGTTCACCGTAAGCACACTTCTTCTCGCCTTCAAACCTTCGGTAGCGGAAGGGGAGGGACTTGGCACGATAGCTTGACGCGTGGGGATGAAACACCCTCGTATCGAAGAATGCGTTGCGGCTATCGGTGCAGAATCCCTTCACCCGCAGGTCGGCGGCACGGGCATCAGGATCAGTGTTGGTTGACCGATGGTGAAAGGTTTCGCCAGTTAGGGGCTGGTATAATAATTATACCGGAAGAAGAGGTTGGTGCGACCTCGGCGATACTTGGGGAATTGTGTGTTGCTCCCTATGCGGGAGCTTGCGCTACTCCTGCCGACTTTAATTCTCACAAGCATCATCACCAGGGATACAAACTTCCAGAGACGCTCCGTTCCCAGTGCGACATCACCATCACCAGGGATACAAACTTACAGAGACGGTGATGTGTGTGCTTGGAGAGCACTATATAAGTGGTGCTCTTCAGGCACAATCTTCCTCAGCCTACTCAAGCTCAACTGATGATGGAAAAACTTCTAATTATCCAAACATGTAAACACAACACATTATGACTTTGTGTGTAATCAACTCATGGCAGTTCGTATTCCGTCAACGTCAGCGTCAGTGTTATCCAGCAGTACAATCATGTACCTTTTGTTCCATGATAACTTCGGGACAGTCTGTTAATGCTGTTGTATTGTAAGAGCGAAGCAAAAAAGGTGATTATACTACAGTCAACTTGGCTAATAACGACTGCGGATATAACGACAATTCGCAAATAACGACACAATTTCCATGCCCAGAGCAAAGTCCCATCCAACGGTAATACATATAATGAGACTTCGGGTATAACGACACTTTGCAAATAAGGACACTTTTCTGATGCCCCGCTGAGTGTCGTTATAAGCGAAGTTGACTGTACATGTATTCAGCGTCAGGTTTTGCTTTGTTTTGCTGCTCATGATGATTCACACATGCATGTTGTTAGCAACTGAAACTGTCCGCCACTGAATACATGTAGTATAATCACCTTTTTGTTTCGCTCTTTTTACCCTTCTTTCACCGTTATAATGTCCATCTAGTATTTGTTTAAAGTAGTCCGGGTGTCCCGCATTCCATTGTTACGTAGATTCACCGATGAATGTGACAAGAAAATAGTTCTGAACGAATCCTCTCGTCCCTTTACGTTGTGTGAGTTGTGATCAACGTTTCACATTTTACTCACACATGTCGACATTCAGACAACGTTCAGACAATGACGTTTACAATGCAATTAGTCGTCCTTGTTGCTATATTATCGGAGTATGTTTAAATTGGACTGATCTAACCGCCAAGAAACCCAACATTGAGCATTGTGTGTTTTTAGAACTTGAACTGGCAAAGGTAACGTGGGTAGTGAGTAATACTAATGAGCCACACGCAATCGATGTGGCAGATATGCAACTGAAACGTGGGAATAAATTGATATTTTTTAAATACTATGTGTGACTTTCGAGTCACATCAAGTGCTCCAGTGGCAAGGAAGAGGAAAGATTGAACTCACGCCAGCGCCTCTGTACGGGCTGAAAGACGCTGCTGTTTGCCCAGACAAGTCAATCACTTCATTCTTGATCGCCTGAGACATCCTCCATCAGCTTTTGGCTATCCATGGATTCCTCAGCATGGCTAGCTGCACCTGGCAGGCGCAATAACACAACGTATTTGTAAAGGCAGCGGACCAAGACCAGCACACCTACTGAAAAGTATACACCACCTATTGCAGACATGCCGTTCTGGAAACCCAAAGCAGCTACAACACTACTCCCAACAATGGGACCAGATCCATATCCCAGGGACATTGCAGCCCGGCTCACACCCGACACAGCATGGCGAAGCTCTAGCGGTGTACCAAAGCCACGCTCTGACCAGGTTCGAGCCATATCCGGAAGACCGACAGTGAGTAGTGCTGCGGTACCAATGGCGAAGAATATCATGGACAGAAAGCTGAGCGCCGACGAACGTGGCCAGTTCAGAAACAGCGCAGGGCCCACCAGCTGACAGGCCAGGCCACACGATGCCAGACCAATAAGCTGTGAAGCTTCTATACTAATGTAGTCACAGTCAACGATGTGCCCTAGCAAAGCAGCCACAAGACTATACAGTATGCCATACATTAAAAAGGTCAGACCACTGATACTTGTAGACAGGTTGAAGAATCTGATGAAGTACAGTGGAAGAGTGGGCTCAACAGCTCCCATCAGGAAGTTTCCAAGGAATAGCTGGATGATTATGGCCCACAGCCAGGGTACCGACAAAAGATCCCGTTTACTCACGTTACTATGTGAGGACACAGATGTTGCCGGCTTTTCCTTCGCCTCCTCAATAGCTGGCATAACTACAATTAGCGTTGTTGATAATATAAATAGAGCAATGCCACCAGCAAGGAACGTAATGGTAAATCCTCCAACATCGTACAGACTCCCTCCAAGAAATGGGCCAAAAGCATAGCCCAGACCATTGAAAGCACGCATGGATCCGTTGGCGAAAACTGGATTGTCGGGTAGCGTTATCACCATGATACCATATGCCGCAATAAAGTTGGCAACAGTAAACAACCCCTGAGCAATGCGTATGGAATAACTCAGCAGTAGAAATTGGATCCAGCCGTCGACGTAGGCGATGAATCCAAACAGTATCAAACAGCCTGCAACGCCCATACCACTGAGGATCAGAATATACTTGCTACCAATGTTACGTAACTCTAGCGATAGTCCAGGCGCAGCAACGAACTCAGTGAACTTGGCAATGCTGAACACAAGTCCTACGGCCGCGTGCTTAGAGACGCTGTCGTTGCTGCTATCTGGATTCTTCAACTCTGCCTCCAGAGCCATGATCGGCATCATCAGGCTGATTGCCGCCGCCAAGAAGAAATTGTTTACTCCGATACAGCCGTACACCAGGTAGACCTTCTTCTTGCTACCGGCTGCAGCTTCATCTGTACCTGCCCTACCGGAGAACAAGTCCTGCTCCCCATCGGTATTGTGGAGCGGTGCCACGCGGCCTATGCCATTGGCGGATGTCATTTCCGGATCGGCAGGCTTCTGCCTGACATTTTCCAGATGTATTTCTCCATCAGATACAGCCCGTTCGCGTGCAGCGCTGCGCAATAAATCGTAGACAGTCTACGCCTAGGCGCCTGGGCCATTGGCAGTACTTTTATTTTTTATCAAAGGCATTCTGTGTGTGAACACACTACACTGATACGGTACTTGATAGTCGGTAGTCCGAGAGGTAGTCGACTACACTACAGCGCCAATAAGACTACACTACACTACACTACAGTACTCAGTAGTATTTTAGTAGATCATGGTACATGTACAATGATTATGTAGATCCATGTAATTAATTCATCAGAATGATGATTGTAGATCTACTACAAAAAAACCCCAGATCTACTGATTATGATGACTGATGTAGATCTAAAGTACAGTGCTGCTGGCAACTGAAATCTGACCCACCTGAGCGGTGGGTACCGGGTTCACATTCTAGCGGTCTTATCTCTGTTTCGTAGTTTTAATACCATAGCAACTTTCCGGTGCACGTGGATTTGCCGGTCGTGCACGTGTGAATACCCCATAACGCGTTAACGGGTAGTCCGCAAAACTCCGCGTACATGTACATGATATTGTACAATCAGTCATGTACACGGTTCCGCCCACAAGTGGAAAAGGTGTGTTCGGCGGTCTTCGCTAAACTAACCTGTTTTGCTCATGGCCGTCGCAATTTATCAGCTACAGCTCGGAGAACTTTCTACTTGTCAATTTTACAGTCGAACGTTACTCTAGAATATTGCAAGTAATGCGTATGTGCACTGTTTGAAAACTACCCTATATAACAGGCTTGTAAGTTGTAACGGTCAGCCATATTGCGATGAAGAAGGCATTTGGTTTAGATAGAATGACCCCAACTGCATTAGTTTTACAACGTTGTCATCTGTATTCGTTTGAGCACAGAGTTAATTTGAAACTATACGTTTTGGTCTATCGCTGCTTGTCATCAATTGTTAGCCCCCTCCTTCAGTCACTGTTTCTCCTGCGTTCAGTTGGCCCGCACACAAATGCTCGTACTCGTGGCCAGGATACAGCTGCCTTAGTATTACCTACGGTACATATTGGGTATGGACTGCGCTCAGTTTCTTTTCTGGCCGCAGGTCGGTGGAACACTCTTCCTCCAAACTGTCGTCAGGCACAATCTGCTGGTACCTTTGCTCACCTCACAAAGATTCACCTAGGGTTCCCTGTAACAAGGCCATGCCTGTGGGGGTGTGCTGTCCCTGTATGGAATGCCCTGCCACCCGCCGTCCTCAGCCAGCCACCTGACCGGAAACGGCTGCAAAGTTTCAAAGTGTCTGTCTTCCCGCACCTCCGTGCCCAGCAATGGCACTGGGCCACTGACACTTTGTAAGAATGTATGCACATCTGCCCGCACACTGCTGCTTATTGCCATACGCCTCGTGCCCTGCTTACTCTTTTCTCTGGATCTGAATGTGCACCCCTTGCGCATTATATAATTATACTTTATTTAGTTCTCTCCCCCTCTCTTGCCCCCAACCCTCCCCGCTCGCTCTCTCTCTCCCTCCCTACGATCGAGTACAAACACTCTCTTCATTGCTTTGTGACTAACGGTCACAATCCTATTGTACAGAGTTGTGCTTAAACAAGGCAGGTAAGCATTACTGGCATGGTCTAGGGTTGACTGAATAATAGACAAGTAGAATGTTCGCTTTGCATCATTTGTTAAATTTCTACGGCCATGTCGGAAAGCAGCAACTTTAGCAAAAACTGAGTTACACAATTTCTGGACCTGTGGCTGGAAGGTGAGATGGTCGTCTATCAATAAACCAAGGTATTTGGCAGTGCTCGTAGGGGTAAGAGGCCTTCCCTTTACAGGTCAAGGGCCGTGGCAACTGCGCTGCTGGCAGGCGTGACCGCTGCAGGATTAGAAATTGCGTCTTGTCGGGGTTCATGATGAGCCCCTTCAGATCTAAATGGACCTCCAGGGCAGTTAGATCGTCCTGGAGATCCTGTATTAACATAGCAGGAAGGTCCAGTCCGATGATGAAGAAGGCAATGGCATCAGCATAGAGTTGTGACATGCTGTGCTTGAGATTTTCCGGCACCTTGCGAATATAAAATTAATGCCAAAGAGCAGAGGACCCAGGCTGAGTGGCAATTAATATTAATAATAATTAACTACTGTGGAACGTGAGTACAGCTCGCAGGGGCGTGCAATATTAATATCGCAAGAGCTAAGTGTCAAGTGACTGGTGGTGTTAGTGGACATTATAGCGTAACTTGTAGTTCATTGGTTCTTTTTTTCTTCCAGTTTTCGAGCTATGAATAAAATGAAGGCCGCAGATATCACCACGCAACTACTTGGTAAGTGTTTTTGTTCGAAATGTAGGTGTATTGGTTTGGTTTTTATTGTTTCAGTTCGTTGCCTCAACAGCACAAAGTACAAAATATCAAGAGAGACGAACGAAAAGAGAAAGGTAAAACAGAGCAGAAAGGAAGATCTGCAACTGGAAGGAAAGAAAAACGGAGAGGGAATGTGGACTGGGCGGATTCATGAAACATTACTAGAGCGATATTAACATACTTTGAAGTAGTATTTTAATCCAGAATCGATGTTCTGTCCTGATCATCAGTGGAATTTACGGAACTGTGACCCATGAAAGTGACTCAAGGAACTGTGACCAATGAAAGTGACTCAAGTTAAATAATCAAGTAGTGGTACAACAACACTTCAGGGTTGCTAAGAAAATGATTTGGAGTCCAAAAAGTACTGAAAACCCCCATTTTTGTGAAGTTAGAATCAGTTTCTCCTGTATGCCATTGCTAGGGGTACTAGTATGGTTTTCAATCGAATTCAAAACTGCCATGCTTCGGAGCTACTCTTTCGCAAATGCAGATTTTTGGTATTATGAGTGGGAAACCGAGTAATTTTTGCACACAAATCTGACATGGTTACCTAACGATTATAATGGATTACTCGATTCTCGATTGTTAAACTAAAGAGTAATCGATAGGTGAAAATTCACGATCGTTTCAGCCTTAGAAGTAAGTGAGAAGTACTAAGAAGCATTGAAAGCAAAAACAAAATGTAATTAAAAAAGGTGAAGAAATGAGGACCAAGGAACTACAAGTTACACTATAATGTCCACTAACACCACTAGTTACTTTACAATCAGCTCATGGAATAACATTGCGCGACACTGACCAACGATTAATTGACCAACTGACCAACTTGTAGTTCCTTGGTCCTTGGTCCTCATTGCACGACACTGACCAACAACCAACTGACCAACTTGTAGGTCATTGGTTCTCATTTCTTCTTACTTCGCATAAATTAATCCTTGGTTCTCCACACGAGTCTAAAAAAGATTAAACGAAATATTATAACATTGATGTCGGTTATGACTGACCTTTCACAAGATTCTCAAGCTGTACAATGAGCAGTTTGTCACTGCTGACTGCAGCAATGGAGAAGATCACAGTCCATAGCAAGTACACTGCACCCACTATTGAGGTGCCATACTCAAACCCAACGGCTGCAGTTAGTGTGCTGCCCAACATTGGGCCAACACCATAGCCAAGAGATACTGCTGCTTGGAAGAGGCCAGCAGCTGCTGCACGCATCTCCCCTGGACTGCCCAAGCCATGAGCATCCAGAGTCCGGAGAATGTCAGGTACAGATGACACAGCAACAAAGCCAATGCCCACACCAAGCAACACCACAGCTATGTAGCAGAAGGCCAAGGACTTTGGGAGTTGTAGAAACGGAGCAGGACCAACTAGCTCACAGCTTATTCCACATATGAAGAGACCAACAGCTTGCATGAGTCTAGGGTTGAGTGAGCGATCAACACAGTAGCCTACAGGCAGAGTGACCGCACCAAATGCCACACTCATAATAGAGAAACCAATTCCAGCGTATATCGTCGGCAAGTTGAATGAATTCTTCAGATACACCGAGAGAACTGGCTCTATAAATCCCATAATCAAATTCGTGATAAATAAGTTGATGAGCACCATCCACACCCAGGGTACAGACAGTAGCTGAATATAACTTATGTCGCTCTTCAGCTTGACTGAACACAAGTCAGTCTCACTGCCCGGTGGTATGAACATGACAAGAAGAACAAGATTGATTCCAAGAACACCACTGAGGACGTAGAAAGGAAGAGCAAATCCATCCACGTCATACAGAACTCCGCCTATTGCCGGACCCATGGCATAGCCTACTCCATTTGCGCATCGCAACACTCCATTCACTAATCCATTCGACTCCGGGAAGGCACCGACTAGTAACGAAAATGAAGAAACAAAGTTTGCTGCTGTTGAAATACCTTGGACTAAACGGATAATGAGGCACATTGCCAGGAAGATACTCCACAACTCGATTTTATTGACAAAACTAAACAGAAACATCATTGCACTAATCTCAAATGTACTCAGCACCAACATCAACTTACTTCCAACATTCACCAAGTCCTTGGCTAAGATAGGAGCAGCAAGAAATTCCACGAACGTTGCTATGCTGAATATCAGACCAATGACAAAATGGTTCGCCAAACTCGGACTAGGTGCTTTCTTCAAAGCTGCTCCACCAAAGAATGGCATCATCAAGCCAATTGCGGCCCAAACGATCGTGTTGTTGATTGCAACACACAGCAAAATAATGTTCCTGCGGACTGGCGAAAGAGCACTTGCTTTGGCTCCACCATCATCCCTATCACTGTCCACTGAGTCTGTTTTTGCAGCATCTTCGCTTTCTGATCTGCTGGCATCGATACAGTGCTGCAGCTCGCATCTTTGCCGGTTCACGTCCACGTCACTAGGTTCCTCGGCGTCCTCGCTCATCGTGCACGGTTGATGGCGTCTTTAGCGTTTTGACAATATTTTTTTATATTCTCTACCTTGCCATCAGCGCCAGACTCGTGGACCAGACCCGTTCCGTGTTTATCCAAAGACTTGTCGGATGCCGGAAATCCTCCGACTTCGCCTAATTAACTTGAAGTCTTGGGGAAAGTGCACCCATGCTCACGTCCTGATCTTCTTCGGCAGCGACAGACAAAGCAACCTAACTAATACTTGACTTACTCCGAGCGCTCCATCGCGAGTAAAAATGGGACTCACATGATACTTGTATTAAATTTTGTAATGATGTGCGAATGTCCTTGGTCGGGCGCTGCACCAAGACCAAGTGCATGGGCCAGGCTAGCTAGCTACAGTCCATTCACTATTATAACTAAGTGTGCACTCTTTTCCATCCAGTCAAAGGGGCGTTATGTGTGTGCCCCACGGATTCTACATGTAGCCTGTAGCCTAGTGTAGGCCAGCGCCAGCCTGACAGGGGAATACGCCACGTGGATGCGTTGAGATGATCAATAAGGTGCATGACTTCTTCAAAGACAAAGCGGCGCACGCGCATTCAAATGCACGGAAATCAGCCAGCAAAGCGAGCTAAAAAAATCAATTTTCCATTTTCTCTCTCAAATTTGGACAGATCCGGTTTTAAAAGGAGCCGCAAGCAAGCGCAGCGTGCATTCACTTAGAAAAAAATTGCCTTGTATTTGTACATAGTCGTATGATGGGAGCATGTAATAACAGTGCACACTTATAGGGAATGGACTGTAGGCTGCATAAGCTACTAGTAATATATACAATGACTATGTAGATGCTTGGCAGTGCTTGCTTGTTGCAGGAACGACGTACAGACTGAGTCATCTCTTTTCTCTCCCGGTGGAGTTCATCCAAACTAATTACTTTCTGTACCATGTCCATGATTATGAACTCTTGGCAGGCTGGCCAGTCTTGGTAATACATGTACAGTACATGTCATGTACTAGTAGTTGAGTACTTTATTAGTACAATAGTAGTCGATCTAAACACTAGCGTGTCTCACGGTGTGTCACTGTGTGTGTGTGTGTGTGTATGTGTGTGTGTGTGCGCGCGCGTGTGTGTTTGTGTGTGTGTGTGTGTGTCACGGTGTCACCGTGTGTGTATGTATGTGTGTGTGTGTGTGTGTGTGTGTGTGTGTGTGTGTGCGTGTGTGTGTGTGTGTGTGTGTGTGCGTGTGTGTAAAATAGTGGCGGTCAATTCATCAGCCTTGCAAGCTGTTGAATGGTGTAATCCCAGCACAAGTTGCTATGTCTAACATAGCTGTTCGCTATCATCGCTTCCGCGATGGGCATGTCTAAGGTCTGAGGTGTGTGTGTGTGTGTGTGTGTGTGTGTGTGTGTGTGTGTGTGTGTGTGTGTGTGTGCGCGCGACATCCGGCTATTATGCACTCTTGGTAAGACATAGGTGGCCAGTCTTCACCGACCCACCGAATCCAATCTGGCGTGCCACAGGGCAGCATCCTCGGCCCCACCCTCTTCCTTCTGTACGTCAACGACGCAGAAGACCACCTGCCTGATGGGGCGAAGCTGGCTGTATACGCCGACGACACAACTCTCTACAAGTGCATCACCACCCGACTCAGACTGCCAGAAGAGACAGCAATCCTCCAGCAGGCAGTAGACTCACTGGCAGCATGGGGAAGCAGGTGGAGGATCAAGTTCGAGCCCACAAAGTCGCAGGCATTGACCATCAGCCACCACCGCTCGCCAACCCCCCCGAACGCAATACGCTTCCAAGGAGCAGTCGTGCCAGAAGTAGAGGAGCTCAAGCTTCTTGGCGTCACCTTCGACAGGCAGCTGGCATTCCGCAGCCATATCCGACAGCTTGCAGTACGCGGAGCCCAGCGGCTCGGCTTCCTCCGTAAGGCATCGGCTGTGCTAGACCCAAAGCACCGGGCAATCGTGTACCGTGGCTTTGTCCGCCCTGTGCTAGAGTATGGCATGCTGGTGTGGATGAGCGCAGCCCCCACCACCTTGGCCCGCCTCACTGCCATCCAGCGCCGTGCCCTGCACATAATTGGAGATGGAGCATACCTCCCGAGCCTCGACATTCGCCGTACCGTAGCAGGGCTCTGCTTTCTGTACAAGCTGCACTTTGTGGAGGGTCCGGAAATGGTGAAAGCCATTCTGCCACCATCAGCAGCCGCACCGCAACACCGCATGCCTACTCGAGCGACAACCAGATCTGCAACACATCATCCATCGCAACTCACCAGTATCCTTCCCCCTCAGGCACGAAACAACACGCTCCACTCATTTCCCCACTCCCTCATCGAAATGTGGAATCAGCTCCCACCTACCCTTCTGCAGTCTCCCCCTTCTCGCAGAGGCATGCACACGTTCAAGAAAAACGTCAACGACCACTTGCGGCGCAGCAAGTGGGAGTGGGCCACAGACAGGCTATGATCTCTGCCAACACACCAGCCTACAGTCCATTCAGAAATAAATGAACTTCTAGCTTTTGGCCATAAATGGGTCAAACGTTGAGTTTTTTTAGAATTTTTTTCTGCAATCCCATATGGAATCCTCTTCCAATTATGTTTCTGAAGTTTTTTTGTCCAAAAAGCAAGCCATAGCAAGAATAGCATTTCGGCCAGGTTTTGCCCCAAAAGCACTGAATTGGGAAAAACCATCAAAATCCAGGCCGTTTGACCCCGCCTGCAACAGTGCATTCTGCGGTTCGAACCCCAGTTCAGGCACCCTTTTTGGACCCTTTTTCAAATTTCAAAGTTCGCAGCACTGCACTGTGTACGATGAAATCACGAAAAATCGCCAAATACGGGAGCTCGCCAGAGCCAGGACCCATCTTTTTATGAATGGACTGTAATTATACTGACCGCACTCCAGCTCCCGTCTACCCCTCTTTGATCCCCTTCGCTCAGCCTTAAAACCCGATCATCAGTTCACTCCATCTTCCTACGGTGCACTGCTTTTACTATTGTTTTGTCCTATCCCAATCTCAAATTCTCCCCATTATCGTTTGCAAAGCCAGTGGTCCCCTCTTGGATGCACATGTTTCTTTTCTCCTATGTTTCGGCGCACAGGAGTAACAATGATTCCGAGACCTTTGGTCGGAGGAGTTACTTTTGCCCCGCCCCCACTTCCATCCAATATGCCACCGCCCCCGCTGTGCAGCATCTGATGGTACTGTGGTATTCAGTAAAAAAAAAGAAAAAAAAACAACAACAAAAAAAACATGTTATTATAACGAGTCGCAAATTTAACGATTGCCCAAAATTCATAGGTTAACGAGAAGATAATAATGTTAAAGGGGAAGTTAAGGCAAAAATTAAAATTTCACCAGTTGTAGTCTTCGGGGTGCTGAGTCGAATGGTCTTGGTCCGAGAAAGCTGAGACGCTCCATTCCTACTTGAATCCCAATCGAACTCGCGCACTTCCACCGAAACTGGGTGACTGCGCCCTACGAGATGGGGATTTGTATGCAAAATGTCACTAAAAGTGCCATTTCGTTCTTATAAAAGCACGGATGACCGCGATTGGCCCATATGTTGTAGTCTTTTGGACGCTGAGTCGACTGGTTTTGGTCCGAAAAAGCTGCGATGCAGCGTTCCTCCTTTATTCCCAATCGAACATGGTTGAAGAAGCGGTCACGTGCTCCTGGGTGCCAAAATCACCTGGTCACCACGCCAGCAGGCGACAACTTTCACACCAAGGTTCAACTCGAGTGACAGGACTGCACCCAAAAAAGGTCAAAACAGGCTAGTAAGTTGTACCCTGCAGGCACGGTGACCAGGTGACTGCAGACTGGTGTACGCAGGAGCACGTGACCGCTTGTTCAACCATGTTCGATTGGGAATTAGGGGCGAACGCTGCATCGCAGCCTTTTCGGACCAAAACCAGTCGACTCAGCGTCCAAAAGACTACAACATATGGGCCAATCGCGGTCATCCGTGCTTTTATAAGAACGAAATGGCGCTTCTAGTGACATTTTGCATACAAATCCCCATCTCGTAGGGCGCAGTCACCCAGTTTCGGTGGAAGTGCGCGAGTTCGATTGGGATTCAAGTAGGAAGGGAGCGTCTCAGCTTTCTCGGACCAAGACCATTCGACTCAGCACCCCGAAGACTACAACTGGTGAAATTTTAATTTTTGCCTTAACTTCCCCTTTAACGATCTTGCGGTATTTTGCCATATCCACACACAACATAATAATTATTATTATACGAAGCAGTGCGGCCTCAACGTATACGAAGAAATATCACAGATTTACTTCCTCGATATACGTGATGTAGTCATGTCTTACAGTATGGTAGCCTCTACTGTCATGTACACGCACATGTACATGGCCATCATCTTCAATCTCTTATTCAAACTGTTCATTCATTGGCATCGCGCGCTAAACCTGGTGATCCACGTGTTGCTGAAAAGGAAGTTGGGAAATGTGCCAAGCATCAACTTCTTGCTGGCGAGATCCATCAGTTGTGGAAAGTTGAGACTCGGATTGTTCCTGTGGTAGTTGGAACTAAGGCACTGTTTCCAAGCGGTTGTCAGGCTACCTTGACACCATCGGTTTTGCCAGCTACTGTTCTGTAGCAAAATTTAAAAAGAATACCCTCCTTGGCTCAGCAGCTATCCTGCCATTCCTGCGTAAGGTCCTTGATGACGGTAATGTTTCTGGGGTGGGTGCACCGGCGGTCCGGCGCGGTGGTGGGGTTCTTTCGGTCCTGTTTTCCTCCAAAGTTCAAACCCTCTCGTGTTTCCTATGATCGATATTTTAGGCCGTTATTACACTGCGGCCGGCACGCGGCTCGCGTTTCGCGTAGATTCTACGAGTTCACGTCTGAGTGACTGACGGAGTGATGGGTAGAGCTCACGGAAACGCTGACCTGCGCTCGAACGCGAAAGGCCATGGTGCCAAGTCAGGATTTGCTCACGGCTCGCGTTTGGATCGCGTGACCCGAAACCATTGCCAACTGTCAGAATGTGTCCACATTTCACATCGCGCGCGGGCAGCAAGCATGCCATCGACTCCAGGTTGCGCAAAACCGTGGACGCGGTGCATGCCCGTGTATACCAGGGAGTCGTATAGACCCTATAATACGACTCCCTGGTGTATACAGACATGTAGTGTTCTGTCGCCAGCCATGCACAAAACCTCCTGGAGCAGTGGATGGAGGGCCTCTCTTTGCACACACTGCACAGTAACGGATCACTGAAACGTACAAGCGGAAACTGGAAATCCTTGTGTATGACGCTGCCGCTATGGCCAAGCAAGTCTAGTCCTGAGCCGCAGGTTCTCATCCTGCCAGCTTGTGGTGGATCCACATGCCTGGATTCCGCCGCCACATGGGTCCCTGCAGCCTGCCTATTCCCCCCCCCCCCACACACACACACACGTGTACGCCCGCAGCAAGCGTCTGGAAATGGAACGCTCGTTGCCAGGGATTGGTCACGTGGGTCTCCTCACAGGAGAGGGAAGAGAGATTCCAAAGTCGTCCTGGAAAGATGACTCAATAGGGCTTGAAAGTGATGACGTCAAAACGGCCAGGGAGTAGTAAGTTGACATCAGATTTCTATTTTTGGATCCACTAAGGTGTGACTTTGCTATTGCCTAAGTATGTGGGTGCATAGCAACCCACTCATGTCGCATGCAGGTGTGACTTTTATTTCGCCACCAGTTGTAACCCCGCCCCCAGTAGCCAAATCAGTCAGTTTCACTGGCTACATCACCATGCTGTGGGTAAGACCGCTTGAAATGTGCTTGGATCCATACAAAAACTGGATCCAAGTGGATCCAGTTTTTGAATTTTTGAAATTGTTGCTATGCTGTGACGTAGCACTTTCAAGCCCTATTGAAGCCCCAACGTCGAACAGACGAACACCCCCAGACCCCATGTGGACTTTGAACTGATGATCCTACGTTATCAGTGGGCACACGACTGCAGTAGCAGGTGGCCGTGGGCGAGGACAAGGTGCAGAACACATTGACTGCAGCAGCACAGTATGATTGTGTTCCAGGATCAAGCTGCATAGCCCCTGCTGCCCCAGTGAAGCCTGAAGCAGTGAAGGGTGTGATTGATACCAGTGGGTGGTGCTAAATCAGAGTGGGCCTGATGTACATGTACATTGTATAGCCTATAGGCTTCACTTAGCATTGGGGGTAAGCGGATTATGCTCAGATAATGACCATGCTCTAGCAGATGTTCGCAGGATGCTCGAGAAAACAGCCAATAATGCTTTATATGCTTCACCAAAAACTTCGGACCAAAAGAACGGATTTTAATTTATTTAGGGCGCGTTCGAATTGTCACTCTTTGACTTTTCGAGGAGCTTCGTTTTTCTGAAGAGGTGGCCTTATTGGCCTCTTCAGAAAAACGAAGCTCCTCGAAACTCATCCAATGGGAAGGTGGATTAGTTTCGAAGAGTTTGGAATAGCTACGTCACGTAGTACGTGGAGACGGTCGATCTGATCGGACGTCATCATCGCCATGACAATTCCACTGAAAAACTCTAAAATGATAGAAACCGTTCTAATGGGACACTTCAACTAATCTCTTTATAAAATTTGTTAGAACAGTTGATGAAGACAATTCGAACGCGCCCTTAGTCTGATAATAGTCATGAAAAAAAGGACTCAGACAATTGTCCTGATGTGGACTGGGGCCGCGTGACCCACCAACCAAGCCAGCCGACACACATAACCTCACACACCACACATGCACACACACACGCACTCACACACACACACACACACACACACACACACACACACACACACACACACACAGACTCAGACATGCCCATCGCCGAAGCGATGATAGCGAACAGCCATGTTAGACATAGCAACTTGTGCTGGGATTACACCGTTCAACAGCTTGCAAGGCTGATGAATTGACCGCCACTAATTTTAGCCTGGTATCCACCACACAGCTGATTGAAGTGACTTTTTCTGGCCAGTGAATCCCTATTTTTCATGTTTCCATTTTTTCAATCTTTTTTTCTTTTCTTTTTTCTACACACACACACACCACACCACATACTCCGGCATACACACACACGCACACACACGCACACACACATGCACTCTCACAGTGACACACACACACACACACACACTACATGTACACGCGTGCACTGTGACAACACGACTGAGAACATTGCCATTATTTGCCCACGGAAATATGCACCAAACAGCTAGTATTGAGATACATAAATCAGCTTCATAATTTTAAGTAAAATAATTTGAAATTTGATATTGATCAGGAGTTTGAAATTATATATTGATCATTGATCAGGAGTTCGGATGTCCAGGTGGCAACACAAGAACACAACAATAGTTACTGAGATTGAGAGTGTATCAAGAGAGAAGGGGAATTCTGTGTGTACTCAAAAACTGGGAAAGCTACTGGAGTCCTGAAGTATCCATTTGTTTGCTATGAAAGGTGGCTAAATTGATCAGGCAGCACTGCTTGCCTGCAGCTGAATAAGAGGACACAAGTTCCATTGTGAAGTAAGCAGACCCACTTGAACATCTGGAAGAGTGAATACCTGATACATCTACAGTATCAAGCTGTTCACAAGCTGAGAATATCTCCATTTGCTGAATGTTGCCAGCATTCATTTTCTATTCAGACCGTGAAGGGGCAGCAGCAGCAGCACATGTATTTCGGCAATTCCCCACCGCATATCTAAACACTCTATCAGTAATCAGCAATAGACCATGGAGAAAATAGGCGGCGCCAATAATTGCCATGCCATTTTCAAATGTCCAACCTGCTGAGATGGCATTCGCCACAATGGGACCAGCTGCATAGCCCAGCGACAGTGCAGCGCGAGTTGTGCCCGCTACAGCATAGCGCAGCTCCATTGCTGTGCCAAAGCCACGCTCAGACAGCGTACGGGTGATGTCTATCGGCGACAGGGTTATCATTGGCGCAATACCGATGGCAAACAGTGTCATTGAGAATGCGGTCAGGCCAAGCGAGTCACGCGTGTGCACATACCCAACAGGTCCAATCAACTGGAATGCTATGGCTGTGACCAACAGGCCCATTATCTGCATCACCTTCATGCTCACTAGCCCACGGTCAACAGTGTAGCCTAGGATAGGCGCCAGGCCACCGTAGATAAGTCCAAACATTAGGAACATTGTGCCGCCCACGGATGTTGTCGTCAGCAAGACCCTGTCAAGGTGAAGCGGAAGAGTGGCTTCCACTGCTCCGATCATGAAGTTGCCAAGGAACATGGTTGTCAGGCCGACCCAAATCCACGGCACAGCTAGTATTCTCCATGTGCTGATCTGATTCTTAGACTTAGCTTCTAAAAGTAAAACCTTTTGACTTTCTCTAGTGTCCACGGAGGGTAAGAAGATTATCATGAGCATTGCCATGACACTAACTAACACACCTCCAATTACAAATGCCACCACAAAACCGCCGGCGTCATACAACACGCCACCCAGAAACGGACCAAATGCGTAGCCAAAGCCATTGAACGCGCGAATTGATCCGTTGGCAAACGCCAGGCGATCGGGCAGGACGGCCACCAGAATGGCGTAGACAGCAATGAAATTTCCGACTGTGAACACACCCTGGACAATGCGCACAGCACAGCTTAACATCAAGAACTGTGGCCATCCACTGACGTAATCCACAAAGGCAAACAGTGTGAGACATCCTCCAACACCCAACGCACTAAGAACTAGCAGATACTTGCTTCCTACGTTCTGCATCTCCGACGCCAGGAGTGGAGCAGCTATGAACTCTGAAAACTTGGCCACGCTGAACACGATTCCCACAGATGCATGTTTAGCAGGGGCGTCGCTCGGATTCTTGAACTGAGCTTCAATTGACAACACTGGCATCATCAGACTGACGGAAGCGGCGATAAGCACCGAATTTACGCCAATGCAAGCGAACACGATATTCCTCCGTTTTCGAGTGTACGACAAGCTTGACGCGCAGTCATCCTTGCCGGAAAATAAATCCTCCTCGCCATCATCGCACAGCAGGTTTCTTGTATCCGGCGCACTGGCTTCGTCGGTCATTTCCGACAGGCGTCCAGCTGTGGAAAGGACAACCCTCCGAGGCTGGCCAGACACCACTACTGGTAGATCTACTGAGACAGCACTGAGCGCTCGTCGCCCCCAACTCTACGCAGCCAGCGCAGCGTGATGTGAAACAGCCTGCAACGCCTAGCGGTACGGCAAGGTTATCATTTCCGAACTGACAGCTCCGAGTCGGGTCATATCAGGCCGGCACGCGGTAACTAAACACTCGAAACGAGTCACGGAAAACAGCAAGAACGTAACCAGTCGTTAGAGGAGTGTCGCCATCCAGTACACGAGCACCGCTGTCAACTGGCTGCACTCCAGAAAAAGATGAGTGCTAGCTGGCTCCGGAGAGCTAGAGAGTTCCCGTGGTGATTTCATTTTACGTGATTTTCTGGTGCGCGTGCAGTTACTGTGCCCCGAGATTTGAAATTTGAAAAAAGGGTCCAAAAAAGGTATCTCAACTGGGGTTCGAACCGCAAATAAACTGTCATGCCAGTGGAGTGAACGGCCTGGATTTTCATAGTTTTTCCCCAATTCAGTGCTTTGGGGGCGAAACCTGGCCGAAATCCTATTCCTGTGATGGCTTGCTCTTTGGAGAAATAGACGCCAGACGCGAATAAAAATAGACGCGCCGAGCTCCATTTTACTGTAAAGCCGGAAAGTTTAACGACCAAAAAGTGTAACGTTTTTGTAATTTTGGTATGATAACGTGCAGAAAGTTCGGTGGCTACCTGGCCGTGGCCACCCATCTATTCTGTATGCGCATCTTTACACTGACATCTCAAACCAGGTTCGCGATAACGTTTCTTCAAATAACGAAAAAATTGGTCGTTAAAACGCTAGACTTTCCGGTTTTACAGTACCCGCCCACAGGGGAAACTGTGCCGACCACTGAATGATGGCCAACGGTTTAAAAACAGATCCCTACCGGTACACATGCGTGAAGGTGTGCGTGCGTGTGAGCTAACTGTAACCAAGAGTATCGTAACCTCATTTTATTCTTGCTGTACTCTTGCTGTTACTTTGCACAAACTGAATGCATAGACTATAATAATTACACTCTGCAGTAAACTGCAATACATTGTACTTTAGTGATGCAAGGAATATTCGAACTATTCTAGTGCTACAGTATTCTGGAATACTGACACCAAAAAGAATATTCGAATGCCAGCAGTAACATTAGAATGTCCAGTCGGGTTTGTTCTGATACGAATCATACGATATACTGGTAGTGCTGGGTTAGGCAAGCAACGGTACTTTCACCTACTACACTGTACTAGCAGTAGATCTACTAGCAGGTGAGAGCGTAGGCTAGTCTGCCAGTCTGCCAGTCTGATCATGCCAATCAAGGTACTACGCTGTACATGACTGTATTTGTATCCCATAACCATTCTCAAATCAAGGCAAACTAGGAAATATGTCAATAGACCAAGCGAAGCCCTCCCCAGCCACCAGCGCTCAGCAGCGTTGACAGAGAGACGGAAAAGAAGCCGATGGCAATAGTATACCAATAGAACAGTGCCGGGGCCAGGTTGGTGGGGGCAAAACGAAGAAAGGAATGACGTCTGGCTCTGAAAGCGAGTAATCACTTGCATTCAAAACACAGCCACATCTTAGAGATGCACCTATGAACTACAGGGTAGTAAGTTTAATATGAAGAATCATGTCAAGGAAAGAAATGGATGGGATTTAAAAAAAACTCTACAAAGGAAACAACATCAAACGATATAATTGTGTAATATGCAAGGACGTAGTTCAGTAATAGAAGAATAACACACGAAGCAAAAAACTAATTTGATAGCAACAATATCACCCTGTTACACAGACCAAGAGTGCGACGATAAACAACAACGAAATAAAACACACACTAGCTGTTAGACGGAGTAGAATACGAGTTGCACGGCGGGAGTGTCCTGAAGCCTTTACGACGACCGGGAGTAGTCAACAAAGCAAACATGAATGAGTTGTGCAGGGTGTCGATGGATACTGGATGGTGCATAGCCGTCATGCGACATGCACTGCAAAGGTCATGTGACATCAATGGGAATCGCGGACGTAAACAAAGAGTAGGGGTACAACATGTCAACGGCTCAATAGTGATGTTGACAACAGCTTACACTGGTCACTGGTGTGTCCACCATACAAGACCAGGCCAGCACAACATCAGCAAGAAGTGCAGCAAAGACAAAGGAGAAACAGTAAACACATACCCTCGTCAAGCAGTCCTCACCCACTTCTGCTGGTATACGGACAAGACGACGGCGAAAGCTCACCATCTCCTCTGCCTTGATTTCTCAGGGTAATACTTTTCAGGGTAACATTTCTACGTAGCTGCTAGGAAACATACCCTGGCGACCTCGCAGTGTCCCCAGCCACCAGTTTTCATCCTCCTTCTCCAGCACAACGATTACGTCACCTTCAGAGAATGTGATCTCTTCATCGCCCTGTGACTCATAGTCGTACAGTGCGCGCACTCTACCCAGTGGAACAGCCGCACTGCCAGCAGCCATAGCCGTGGTCTCACCGATTGTACCATAGCCGGCTAGAAGGATACAGGTGCACACACACACACACACGCGCACACACACACACACACACACACACACACACACACACACACACACACACATGCAACCGTATGAAGTCCGGGCAGAGCGTAAAGGACGAAATGCTGGTTACTACTAAACATGCAAATCATTCCTACAAGACAAGGCCTAGCTACTATTGTTGACTCAGGCCCACTGAGTATTGTTGAATTAGGAGAACACACCTTAACACCATAACAAACCACTGACATGATACACAACACCATGGATAAATGCCTTTGGAAACAGCTCTTATGAAAGATAACGTTGAGGGTGTCAGTAGCAACAGTCGCAAAGCACCCCCCCCCCCCCCCCACACACACATACTGTCCCCTCACAGCTGGTTTCAGCGAAGGGAACAGGAATAGATAAAGGATGTCTGGTATAGTACAGTGTACAGCAACACAACCAAGGGCGAAAAGACAGACTCGCCACACAGGACCGTGCATAGTTCATGCACCCACAATTTAGACATCGTGTCAGTAGTCTAAGGAATCAAGCACAAATGGATGTGCTGGTAGGAGAGATTGTGGGTTTGAGTGCACGAGCACCGGGTGTGATGTAGCAGTCCCGATATGTACTGAAGGCAGCAGCAGCGCATCGTGCACTGACCCATAACCACAGCGGAATACTCTTGTTTACCGACTCTAGGTCTCACCAGATACACAATGAGAAAAAGAAAGAAAACAGGATAATCTAACTGGAGCAATTCTAGGCACTACTTTAAAAATTACATTAACAGTACATTCTCCAGAGTACGTCTACTACTGCTAATACTATTACTACTACTATTGAATAAAAAAGGCCAATATTCTACTCAGCAAAACCCAAACAAATAATGGGGGGGGGGGGGGGGCGATGGGTCATCAACTAGAATAAAACAGAATGGGAAGTAACCGCGTGTATATGTGCAGAACGCCTGCAGCAGTGCAATAAACTAGCCAAAGCAGGGGAGGGGAACCATAGCAGTGCAGTGAACTAAACAAAGAAAACGCAATGACCTATGTGTATTGCAGAGAGTAAAAGAAAAATGTCGGTGACCTAGATGGTGGAACAGTGCCATACTGCACACACAAATGCATTGGGAGTGATATCAAGCGGGACAGCAGAGTAGCGAGTGTACTAACAAGAGGATATAGTGCATAACAATTCAAATTTGATCAAGCATGGCAATAAAAGAATGTGCTGAAATTGAACAATGAAACAACAACATACAAACCGCGGGCTATTCCATGGAGTTCACAACAAATGTGACAATGAACAACAAGACTAGTCATTGCTGCTGGGAAGTTAAAAAATAACCAACCAAGCACACATGATACTGCAGAATATTTACCAAAGAGCCACCAGGAAGTACCTCTCCATAGAGAATAGATAGAGGGAAAGATGTAATGAAGTGAACTTATCGCTACCGAGGTGGTAACTTAGGCTTTGATGCACGCCACATTGGTGTGTTTGCTGCTGCTGCAAAGACACTGTCCACACTGCCGCTCAGAACCTTGGATGCCAAAAGAGAGATGGGAGCAATGGGAATATCATTACAAGATTTAGTGACATCATTCTCATGACGTGGCCCAGATAGAGTGCCATACACATCATCAAGTCCATCACCACAAGCAACAGTAGCAGCAGGAATATCAGAACAAGATTTGGAGGCAAAGTTGTCATGACCTGGCTCAGCCAGCGTGCCATACATATCATCATCCAGTGCAGCACCAGCTGCAAAAGTGGCAGCAGTATCACGGTTCTCCATTGAGTACATGAAGCGATCTCCAGGAGGTTCGGTTACAGACAGCGGTGAGACTACCACATATTTATTCGGGGACACTGATCTAGACGCTGATACCGGGGATTCAAGGGGTGAAGTAGTGCACGTTGAAAGATTGCGGTGAGGTAAACGTGGTTTGGAAACGTTAGTACAGGACGTGCTGATAGCAATCCCACGTGGATGTGACTGGCTTGGAGGCGACTCACTGCTCAATGGTGTAAATGTAGACTTTTCAACAGGTATTGGCTTGTCCACGCAAGCATATGTATCATCATCTCCACTCTGATTACTCACTTCCATAGCAGCGGCAGCAGCAGCAGCAGCAACGACAGGCGGTGGCGCGCCTGTTGACGGGACAATGGCATAATTATCAGCTGCTTCGACAGAATGCCAATTAGGGCTAGGCGATGAGTGATGTGAGGCATGTGCTGAGCCAGAGCGCTCTGGCAAGTCCATGGGCGCTCTTGCCGACATTTTGGCGGATAGTGGATTCCGTTGTGCTGGTGGGTCAATGGGGGCTCTTGTTGACATCCTGGAGGATAGTGGTCTACTTCGAACTGGTAGGTCCATGGGCGCTCTTGTAGACATCCTGTCGGACAAAGGACTCCTTTGAGCTGGTGGATCAATGGGTCCTCTTGCGGATGGCTGCTGGCAAACTACATATATTTTATCACCAATCTCATCCCGATCTTCAGCAGTAGCAGCTGCTGCACCAACGGCTGCATCAACGCCATTCACAACACCATCGGTGGCACCATCGGCAACAGCATCGGCACTCGCATCAGCAACAGCATCAGTATCAACCACAGCATCAGCAACAGTAGCGGCACTTGCAGCAGTATCTGCAGCAGAATCCACAGCAGCAAGAGCAAGCGGAGATGCATTCGTAGCAGAGGTCAAAGTAGATGACGTATCGGAGGAAGTAGTGGCAACAGGGGAAGAGGGGGGCAAAGAAGGAGAATTGATAGCTGTGTTGTCAGATGATTGTAGCTGAGCGCAGTCGGTGTATGTTTGATCTAGCAGGACAAAATACACACAGACACACACGCACACATGCGCACACACACAGGCACGTGCAAGCGTGTGATCGTACATGCACAGGCAAAACACCACAAGGCCGAGCAGTTAAAACACCAGGACGGAGAGAAGAGGCGTGCGTGACTGCAACAAAAAAGGGAGTCATAATCATAGAATAGCTAACCAACACACACACAGTACCAGTACTTCCTCCAGAACTAAAACACTTCGTGACTTATTATAATTAAAGGGGAAGTGCATCGATTTTTCGAGTAGGGTCCAGAAGAAAGACAATTTTATATCGGTTCGAATGGCATATCTCTCGTTTCCATACGATAAGCCAAACTTGCCAAATCGCCAATTGTATGCTCACGTTGCCATAGCGACCAGCGGAGTGATGACGTACGAAAGGCTTAGCTCCTCCACAGAGAAGGTCGATCACTGCATAAATTGGTCATTTTCAATTGTCTTATTGTATTCACGATGTGAAAGAAGTGCTGTGTTCAATGCTGTTAGTGCCGTGAACTATTTGTCGCCCTTCTCATGCATTTCCCTAGGCTGACTGTGCCTAGGAAATGGTTTCCTCCAGGAAAAGATGCTTGGAATTCGCCGTCTCTCCTGAGTCATTTTCAGCAAACTTTCAAACCTACGACATTATTTCATTCGTCAATCTCCACCACCCGTCGTCTCACCGGGCTTCAGAAGATGTTACGAGAGATAGGAGAGTCGCCAGGAAGCATCACATTCATCTTCAGGAAGTGGAAAGAGCAAACGACATGGTCCTTGGTTGGGGGAAATGCTGAACGTCTGATTTGTCCCAACCAAGATTTCAGCATTTTGTTCGTCACAATTTTCGCTTGTCTGCTGGTGTCTCCGCGCTCCAGCTTTCTCCTGCCGGTGTCACGTCCCAGTACACAACCGAGAGGACTACTAACAAACAGTTCACTGCACTTACAGCATTGAACACAGCCCTTCTTTCACTTCGTGAATACAATAAACCAATTGAAAATGACCAAATTCTGCAGTGATCGACCTTCTCTGTGGTGGAGCTAAGCCTTTCGTACGTCATCACTGCGCTGGTCGCTATGGCAACGTGAGTATACAATTGGCGATTTGGCAAGTTTGGCTTATCGTATGGAAGCGAGAGATATGCCATTCGAACCTATATCAAATTGTCTTTCTTCTGGACCATACTCGAAAAATCGATGCACTTCCCCTTTAACATCCTAAGGAGTTACGGTGCTCAAGAAATTCGGTTCAGTGGAACAAAAACACTTCAAGACAATGAGTGGATATACTTCTTTCAAGTATAAAGCGGGATTCACAGAAACGTTTTTGCGATGCGATGCGACGCGATCTGCGATGGAGGCTTGCGATGCGAACTTGCGAAATACCATTCACAGAAGAAGTCAGCGATGCGACAACGCCTTGCTGATTTGGCGCGAAGTTCAATGCAGGTGGGTACGTCACCATGGTATTCGCGCGGTTTGGTACAACTTGTACAAATTTACAGGCAACTCTTGAACCTTTGTACAACTTTGCTGTAGAAAAGGTCAAAAATCGTACACCAAATCGCTTGTCGCATAGCAGGAGCCAAGCTCAACTTCTGCGATGGCCCAGTTGCGTGGGGTGCGAGATGGGTGCGATTTGGGGATTTCCCGGTTTCGCGGCCGTCGCATCGCAAAAATGCTTCTGTGAATCCCGCTTAACACAATTATACAAATAAATTGGCACTACTGGAGTCATCATCGCTTGATTCCTCAGAGCACAATTCACCAGAACCGACAGGCCGATCAAAGTCACAAAGTTTTTGTTTCCGAACCATACTGCGGGAAGATTCACTCTCACACACACACACACACACACACACACACACACACACACACACACACACACACACACACACACACACACACACACACACACACACACACACATCTACTAAATCTAGACAACTAGGATGGACTGTGGCAAAGTGAGCTCAGAATGCTTGTATTGAGGGTGGCGGTATCATGATGAGTACACATACACGTGCGTATGATACACAGCATACATGTACATGCAGGACCACCCGAGACAAACATGTCAACAATACAAATCATAGGCAACAGCAATTACTAGAGTAGGCACCACAGTGACACATGACAGACTCCCACAGGTAAATGCAAACCATAAGGACACCATAATCTACAATTCCTCTCCACTCATTCCTACACATCCACAACTACAATACCACCCACGCCCAGCGACAGCCACATACCAGAATGTTCACGTGCCACGTTCACTTGGCACTCAAGACCTCAATATTGATACAGATGCCCTCTTCTGCTGCTACTACACTGTACCAAACATTGCATTCCCTAGGCTTACGGTGCTGAATGACAGGAAGAGTGAGAATAGAGAAAGAGGACATGGTGGTGTGCCACTGCTTACCTGAGTCTGCACTTGTTAAAAATCCAAACTCGAAGTAGTGCCTACAGAGGCCGCTGCCGTCGCCACGGCATCACAAAGATCCACAGCGAAAGTCCCGGCAGTGCTGGTGGAGTGCTTGTGTCAGGAGGCGAATTCCAGTGATGAGCACGGTGTGTGCCAGACTAGGTTGGTCTGCGCGTGGTAGGCCTCAATGCGAATCCGATGGGCAGCAGCATGGCAGTAGTATCCGCGGCAAAAACAACAGCACGTGGCTGTTTGGAAAAGTAGCGTTGTTTGTGCTTGGCCATATGCATCGACCAGAGTGATAAAAATGATGTGGTTAGGGTGACAATGCTGTCCCGACACTGGCACAGCTTCAGGGTTACGCCATCAGGCTGCCACTTTCTTTCCGATTCCGTGCCAAAAGCACAGTGATCTAGGTCAAGTGATTGTGTAGGAACAGCGGTGAATTATTGACAATGTTTTATCCGAATTCATGCGAAAGCTAAATGATTCATCCACGAGTGTAAACAATATGCTGAGTGTAAACAATGCCAGTATCATCCAGGCTAGTTGACTGAGATTAGATATGTACAAAGAGGCCACCATGACAGTAGCAGCGGCACCAGAGCAACAATAATTATAGTTTTAAAAGTCACTCCATTGGTTTCTCGGCAATCTTTTTTCCACGTGAAGGCTATCAGATAGTGTGTGTTGCCATAGTAGAAGCACTATTTCATGTAGAGGTGGACGGAAGTGCATGGGTCAGTGGTGGCACAGGGAGCAATGAGGCAGTGATGAAGTTCTCTCAGCGCCAACAGGCAGTAAAAACAAGGCGCTGGCAGATTGCTGTTAGCAGATGGTCAGATGCACTGTCAAGCTAATCAACGTCCAGGACATTGGCGAAAGACGCTGCTGTGCTGTGGTTAGCATGGTGGTTGAGTGCAGCTCAGTTGGTGAGTGTGGTGATGCAGGCATACTAAATGGCAATGAAAATGACGACTGATTGATTGGCATAGAGCGACATGGCACACTCGCACACAACTGATTGACTGGTAGAATGGCATGGCATACACATAGTCCGCCTCAGTTGTGCCAGCATACTCTGGCTCAACTACTATTACCTGCTACACCATTCTGCCAACTGGTGTACTTGACTTTCTAGTCTACAGTACCTCACTTGCTCACTTATTCTTGCCTGCCCATTACCACTCAATATCTCTCTCCCTTCCATGCACAGATATATACAGTTGTGCATCAACCCACAGGTACAAACCATGCAACAGATATCTTGACTTGCAGCACATGCCACGGAATACAGAATTGAATTTACCTTCTTGGGCCAGGCTTGAGCTGGCTGGTTCGCTCGGCGGCTGTGGCAGCGGGTCAGTCCGTACTGGTGTGTGCGTCTGAGCCTGTTGTTGCTGTTGCTGCTGCTGCTGCTGCTGTTGTTGTTGCTGCATCTTCTGCTCCTTTTCTCTTTGATAAGACGGCCTAATAGATTCCGCTGGGTTGTTGCCATAATAATTCTCGTATTCAATGGGGGCTACAATCAGACATCAGCCACACAATGAGAGAGAGAGAGAGAGAGAGAGAGAGAGAGAGAGAGAGAGAGAGAGAGAGAGAGAGAGAGTTTACTAGGTAAGGGGTCGTCCGCAATTATCGAAAGTTTTTTCCAATCCGTAGTAGCTTCAAATTTTTCCTCACCCACCCACCCCCCCCCAGTCCGTAATAAAATATTATTGATGGACACACAACCCAACACATATGGAACAAACTCGTCCATTCCTTTTTCGCTTCGGCAAAGAATACATCCTTGTTCGTCGTCTTGGACAACTGCCACAAGCAATTTATTGTTCTGTAATAATCAGAGTCACCAGCGGTTTTGAAAAAGGGCTGCTTCTTCACCGCCTTTCCAAACAACGTCGCCTGTCTGGACATAGTCAATAACAGTCGTCAGCGCCAGCGCTAGACGGAAGGACTTCAAAGGAGTGCATGGAAGACGGTACTCTGGACGAAGGAGACAGTGAAACTCAAAAATAGAAAGTGTCGACTCGCCGTCGAATGCGCCGAACTTTATGATCCCCGGCCCAGGAGCAGCCAAGGAAGCGCGCGCGTGGGCGCAGAAACTGCCAGAACTACAAAAATATTTGTAGTAGACAGTTCGCGCGCAGCCGCGCGTGGAAAACAGGGGCTACACGTAGACGTACACGTGGCACGCGCACGTGTCATTTCGGAAGTTTTTCAATCCGTAACTGTCCTTGACCCACCCACCCACTTTCGAAGCTACTACGGATTGGAAAAAACTCTCGATAATTGCGGACGACCCCTAAGGCATGTGTGTGAATGTGAGTATATTGGCCAAAGTTCATTAGCATCTAAAACACCTACAGTCCATTTCAAAACTATAGACGCGTAGGGTTTTTGAAATATTTCAAATTTGGCTGGACCTTTTTGAGAATAGCTTTCGGAATATTGCTCAGGTCCGCTCCACAATTACTCTCATATAGTTTCTAAACGATTGGATAACAGACGCCCAATTTGGAAAAAATTATGCACAAAGTGATCACAGATTTTATGTGGTATAGATGCTGGCATAACGGTTTTTGCCTAGGTACGCGTCTATAGTTTTGAAATGGACTGTAGCCAGCATAAACATTACTTTTGCTTCAGCAGGCGCCACAAGAGAAATAAGAATGGCCGCCAACGATTCCCAACTCTGGTGGTCGTCTCAATACACACTCAATCGTGCTGAAACGATTATATCGATTACTCGTTACTTCGATAAGAAATAGATCGAGCGGTTATTTCGATTTTATCGGCTAAATGAGTAGAATGGTACATACGCTCGGTACGGGATTTCCACCCTTTTGGGGGTCGCACAAAGCGTGCATGCACCGAAAGTGTTGCGAGTACGACACGAATATGTAGATCACTGTGCACTTGCAACATCGATGTACGTGTAAAAGTACAAGCGCGATCTAAGATACATCGACGCGATCACCGTCGACAAGAGTCCATAACCAAGAGTGTGCAACGCCACATAAATGTCTGTCACGACTCGTTTTCAACATTACGTCATTTTCATGTAGCTGCGTGTGCAGGCCGCGACATTCGCTACATGAAAATGAGGCAATGTTGAAAACGAGTCGTGACAAGACCCTATCGCGCGTTGCACACGCTGGGGGTTATGGACTCTTGCCGTCGACATCGTCGCCGTCTTTTCAGCTGACTACTTTTCTTACATACAGCATGTAGGACTGGCAGGCTCAGTATGTGTCTACACTGTAGCTGCAGGGGCTGGAGTTCCCTCCGCGTGCGAGTAGTCTTGAGCTAATGACAGTAACGTGGTCTTCAGTTTCGTGTTTTCCGTTCTGTGGACGGTTCTCGAACCAATTTTCTCGACGACGAGCTAGGCTTGGCGTCAGGGCCTATTTTGAGCATAGACAGGAAAAGCAACTAGTTACTTGTTGGCGCGCCTCAAGTCAGCTCATCCGTTGAAATCCGCCAATCTGCACCCCTGGCCGGCTTCTCTGACTTCATCGTCAGAGTCAGCGAAGTCACAGGCGAAGGGCACCATCAGCTCTTGAGGTGCAATCAGTGCGTCGCCTCTGTCTTGTCTGCATTAGTCTGGTCAGTCCGAACAGCTGACGGACTTGTTACGGGATCATCGGATCTATGCGCCCGCTTCCTGTCGTTGGCGATGTTGAACTAGTAACATTTTTGAAATTCACAGAATGTACATGATTGTACTGATATAGTTACAATAATAATCGTTTAGCCGATAAGATATTATTAATAGCCGATAAATGTAGAAAAAAGGACATATGGATACGAGTTAAGAGTAACTCTCCATCACTGTAACTGGATACTATATACAGTCAGAAAGTGCAATAACTAGGCACAAAACTGACAGAGTACTGAGACATTCGACGTCCTGACACCTAGCTTCAACACATCTCCGTAGCGCTAACCGACAGCCTTCCAACTTGGAAGGTTCAAGGTTATGAAAAGACCAAAGAGGGGAAGGCAAGCGCAACGAAAGCGAGCAAAAGCTACAGTCCCAACGGAACAAAGAATGTCGATTGTTACTGGACGATGACGAGACCAGTACGATATTTGACAAAGCGGTCTAACTACAATTCGAAGCAGCAAAGCAGCACACCACCCAACTTGGGTGGGTCATAAATATCAAAGATAAGTAAAGAAAGGGGAAGCTTTGCGAAAACGAATAGTACAAGCCGAAAGCCAAACTCCTACAGTACTCCTCATGCATGACATTGTGATGGACTAGTTGACTACAAAACAAGTTGTTTCACACGACGTACGTTTCGCCGTGAACAAAGAATGTCGATTGTTACTGGATGACAACTTGACTACAAAACAACTTGTTTTGTAGTCAACTAGTCCATCACAATGTCATGCATGAGGAGTACTGTAGGAGTTTGGCTTTCGGCTTGCACAATTCGTTTTCGCAAAGCTTCCCCTTTCTTTACTTATCTTTGATATTTATGACCCACCCCAGTTGGGTGGTGTGCTGCTTTGCTGCTTCGAATTGTAGTTAGACCGCTTTGTCAAATATCGTACTGGTCTCGTCATCGTCCAGTAACAATCGACATTCTTTGTTCCGTTGGGACTGTAGCTTTTGCTCGCTTTCGTTGCGCTTGCCTTCCCCTCTTTGGTCTTTTCATAACCTTGAACCTTCCAAGTTGGAAGGCTGTCGGTTAGCGCTACGGAGATGTGTTGAAGCTAGGTGTCAGGACGTCGAATGTCTCAGTACTCTGTCAGTTTTGTGCCTAGTTATTGCACTTTCTGACTGTATATAGTATCCAGTTACAATGATGGAGAGTTACTCTTAACTCGTATCCATATGTCCTTTTCTTTTCTACATTTATTTATGGCTCAACATCCGAGTTTCAAATTAGCCGATAAGCCGATCGTTATGGTATCAGCTAAGCCACTAAGGAAAAAACGTATTCATTTCAGCTTTAAGTCACTTAAAAAAATCATACATGGGCTGAGCCTAATGCAAATGCAGAAATGTACAGGAAATGGAACAAGTTGCCATGTTGACTTACTGGGTCGAATATCGCCGGTTCGTTTCTGCTGAATGAAGAGTTCTATGTCTTGGGGTACATCACAATGTTCTAAGACAGCACGTACATGCTCAAATAACTGCATGCACAAATAGAATACATAGCACACACACACAACACACACACAAGCGCGTGCACGCACACACACACAGTACAGTTTTGTACCACACCAGAAACGAGAGAGCTTGGAAGCTCAGGGCCCTACGCTATGCTTTTTTGCCTTGATGACCTAGACAAAAAAAGCATAGAGATGTTATTTATTCTTCTAAATTTCTCCTTTTTTTTAAGACATAACCTGGGATTCGAACCCGCACTATCTGTGGCCAGCCGTCTTTGATGGTACGGTACGGGACAGGTACGGTCGAGGGTAATACGACACCGCCTACCGCCTTGATGACCTAGGCAAAAAAAGCATAAGGATGTTATACATTTTTCAATTCTCCTATTTTTTCAGGCATAACCTGGGATTCGAACCCGCACTATCGCCCTACATGCATTCCCCCATACACATCGCATTCATACTCATTCTTCCAAGTTGCTGCACGTCATGATCTTGCATTTGAAAGCAGGGAGTAGTACTATTCCCTGTTTGAAAGCCCTATTTGAATATTTCGGCCAGCTATGTTTGATGGTACAGTACGGGACAGATACGGGATAGCGTCAGGCGTGACACAAACACACAAACAAACAAACACCAAATTAAAGCTGTGTGGACCCTGGCTAGCGCCAGACGTTACTGAAGTAACGTCTTCTGCATAGCTATGGGAATAATAATTATTATTATACAGCTAGCACGCCACATCAGTAGCAGTCACCAGTGAGCTCCAGGCCAACATCATGCGCCAGTCCCTACTGCTGGCCACTGACGAGGACACCGTGCGCAATGCTAAGCTCCAGGGCCGTGCCAAACTCCGTACCCTGTGGTCCGACACTACTGCCACCATCAGTGCAGACCTCAGCGACCATGAGCAGCGCTCCTTGGAAGCTAGTTGCGACCGCGGTGCCAGCTTGTGGCTGTCGTGCCTGCCCATCGCTGCACACGGCTTCAGCCTCGACAGGAGGTCATTCCAGGATGCTCTTGCTGCACGCTACGGGTGGCCTGTTCTTGGTATCCCTGACACCTGCTTATGTGGTGTGCCTTTCACCACCGACCATGCGATGATATGCAGACGTGGCGGCTTCCCCATCATCCGCCACAACCATGTCCGGGACTACATTGCCGGCCTTCTTGGCAGAGTGTGCAATGCCGTGGAGACGGAGCCTGTTCTGTATAAACCAGTGCACAGGATTATACAGCTAGTGTCTACCTGTGCCTATCCTCATCGCTTGCTGCATGTTCAAACAAAACACATTGTTCTTGTGAACAAGCTTGTCCTGGTGGGCTGTGGGCTGACCTGGCTTGCCTATTGGTACAGTGTTTCAGTGTTAATTCAGAGTATATTCAGAGTATATTCAGAGTATATTTGCCACAAACACTACTATCTTATCTAATGGCACTAGCACAGTTGTGCCAGCTGAAATCCAACCCAAAGTGTATATACAGCTGAAATCCAACCCAAAGTGTATAATACAGCTGAAATCCAACCCAAAGTGTATATACAGCTGAAATCCAACCCAAAGTGTATATTTGGCGACCGGACTGGCACGGCTTTTGACACCCTGGAAGTGGTGTGAATGCTGCTGGACGTACATATTAACAAATACAGTTATGTAATTGGAATTGGTTCAGCCAAAGAGATTCTCCCCGTGCATTGGGCATGCAATAACGTTAACAGAGTCAGTATGGCAATGTATGCAGACACGGGGAACAATAGAGAAGAGTCAATACACACCTCGTCCTCTTGAACAGCAACCGAAGACCCAACATTGGTCACCTTCCACATTGTATTCCGTAGAAACGCTACTCGCTCTTCTTCTAAGTCTTGAAACGTCTACACAGGCAAACCATTGAGAATGACAGAGGAGAGATTGTTGACTAACATGTGCACACATACACACTGTGACACAGTCATAGTCATAGTGTCATGTGCACACATACACACTGTGACAGTCACACAGTCATAGTGTCGTGATCAGCAAAATGCTACAGTAGTCAATGAAATGAACAAGCACAGCCACGCAGATCGAGGCAAAACACAGACACCAAAGCCTTCAAATTCTCTACCTTGCAGCAATTTTCCATCTCACGCTCCCAGAGTATGCGTGCTTCGTCGAGGTTGACGACTGATTCTTGGTACTGACTATCTGCTTGCTCAGATAGCTGCCGTGCTCGCTTCGCCTTCACACGTAGCTGCATTGGTGGAAAACATAAATAGAAATCGTCCAATGCCATAAACAAAGCGATAAAAGGCAGACGGAAGTGGGAAAGTAGTTGAGTGGAACATAACGTTCGCAAGTGCTACGTCACAGACAGGCCAACGTTAAAAAAACCATTGAACACAGAAGCTGAAAGTGCAGCACTGCTCGATGAAGGCCAGTGCTATGAAGTAGCTAGTAATGAAGACTGTATAGCCCTGGTATTGCAAACACTGGGAGAGACCGCACAGCCCTCCTTCATGTAAATAGAGAGCAGCAGATGTAACCTGCTAGGGGACCATTTATTGTTGCACTTGAACTGATTATACTGCATAGGTGCGGATGTGCAAACTGCATGCACACTACAATGTAGGTGGCTGTCTGTCTATACATGAACATGTAGTCAGCAGGGCATGACAACTATACACGTACATCTTCTAACTTCCTTGGCGGTAACTGGGTGTTCTTTTCCACGTTCTCCTCGGCTTTATCTGCTGCCTTGCACTTTGTTATGTAATCTGCCTTAGTCTAAGTATAGAAACACACAAGGGTGAGAGATGACACGCACACATGAGCACAAAAGGAAGAAAAAAAGGGAGAGAGAGAGAGAGAGAGAGGGGAGGGAGAGAGAGAGAGAGAGAGAGAGAGAGAGAGAGAGAGAGAGAGAGAGAGAGAGAGAGAGAGAGAGAGAGAGAGAGAGAGAGAGAGAGAGAGGCAATCACAAAACAAGGTGGCCAAAGTCGGTAACTCCAACAACAGGGGTAACATAACTGTCACCAGCGCAAAACCTAAGTACCCTCCCAGTATCCACAGCACAAGCAGCAGCAGATCTGGCAGTAGTATATCCACACACACACACACGCACACATGCACACGCACGCACGCACACACACACACACACACACCTTTGACGCCCATCGCCGGAGGCGATGATAGCGAATTGCCGATGCTATAGAAGAAGACACAGCAACTTGTGCTGGGATTGCACCAATCAACAGCTTGCAAGGCGGAAGAATTGACCGCCACTATTCAGCCTGGTCTACACCACACAGATATGAAGTGGCTTTTTCTGGCCAGTGAATCCCAACTTTTTGGTCTTGTTTTCATTTTCCTGCACACACACATCACACCACATACTCCGGCATGCACTGACTGTGGTCACACACGTCTTTCTTCTCTTTCTCAGACTCCTCCTGACTTTTCTTTCATTCTCCTGGGTGGTTACCAACAGTCAACACACACACACACACACACACACACACACACACACACACACACACACACACACACACACATACACACACACAGATACAGACAGACGCACACACACACAGACGCATACACATGTGTGCACGCGCGCACACACACCCACACGCACGCGCGCGCGCACACACACACACACACACACATGTCTAATTCCTTAAATCCATATGTACATGTACAATACTCGAGCAAGTCAACAGGTGGCGTGATGCATTGAAGAAACTACAACAGATGGCCCTTCACACCTTGATTTCATTGTTATGGGCAGTTTTCTTGAATGCTTGTGCCTTCTTCACCGTGTCCTCCGTCTGAGCAAAGCACAAAGGAAGCTAAATGTCAATGACAGTAAAGCCCTGTAAAATGGATTAGCACAGACAGACATCTGTCATCGGCTGCCTGGACAAGAGTATACAAAAGCATTATTCCCGAGCTTTGCCAAGGGGATACAGCGCCACATGGCGACGCAGTACGTATGGCAAAACCAGGGTCCAGTTGCCTTCAATGGGTATGAGTGTATGTGCGTGTGTTCGCATTAACCATGTGGCCAGAGGGTCAGAACGCATGTTTCCGTATCCTGTACCTTTAATACATACTGTAGAACGGCTAATTTTAGAGGGTAAAGTTTTAAAAGCGTTTCCTGAATCTGGACCAACTCGCGACGAAATATTTTAGCGATCCGAGTTTCAGAGTAAAAAAAAAGATGACCAGTATTGTACTGTACATGCAAACATGTTCATGCACATGAACACGGTCAGCAAAACGTTCTTTGAAGTGCCCATAGAAACATGAACAAAAAGTGAAAAATCACATGTACGTTGAAAGCAATCCTAGAGCCGCTTTGAAGGCAACTTTGAAAGCGGATTTTTGCGTTTTGTTTTCAGGCAAGTCGAAACAAGTGCTATCTGCATAAACGTACGGCATGCGCAGCTAGTTTGGCGCAAAAGTTCAAATTCGCCGTGCCTCACCATGGATATCTGGTCACGTGGACCACTTTTTACGTGCATGGCATGCAACTGCATTTCCTGTGCGAACGCATACTTGTTGCAAGTGGCTTGATTGAGGATTTCCCCGAGGGTTTTTGTACTGTGCGTGAATGCAGCCTTTCATAATGTCTTCAACTGGCACATCGGTTCAGAAAAGTTATCGAGATTATTGCATATCAGCAGGAAGTATTATAGGATGTAATTTATTGAATAATAAATGATCATGGATAAAAAGAAAGGACACAATGTTACGAGTTATGACTAACTGTCCACTGTGGACAGCTAGTCATATTTCGTACCATTTCGTCCTTTCTTTTTATTCATGATTACTTTGGCTCAACATCCGAGTTTAAATAAATGATCAAATAGGAAGAAAAGAAAACTAGCAACGGCAACAGAAACTACAGACACACTGTACTTGTGGACATCATGAAACCATGAAAGTGGCGCTACTCACCCGCTTTCGAACTTCTCGCTGCTTTTCACGGAAATCTCGGACTACTTTTTCTAGTTCGTTTGTTAGCCGTTGAGATGCCGCCATGTGTTCACGGCCACATGCCTCGGTTTCTGGATGCAATGCGGGCAAGAACACAGGAAGTAAGTAAGAAAGGTAAATGAATGCTAGCAAGTTGATCTGTATTGCAGCAGGTGACTTAATTTCAATATTGCATGATATGTGCTAAGAAGTGTACAAGTACTGAATACCTAGGGGTACAACGAATGCATGTGCGTTACCTACTTCTACAGCTGTGTATATAAAAGCCAGACGTGTTGTTCTACAAGCCGATATGACATCTAGGCTTGTCGTATTCAGTCCAGGCGTTTCTATGCACTAGAATGGAGGGTCGGATAATTGAAGTTGCACTGAATTATTCTTGGGGGCATTAGCTACACCCCCCCCCCCCCGGAACAAAAAGACACAATCAACTTGGATCAAGTACGTAATTGTGATGAAGTGCATATTCACTAACAACCTGATGATACACTGGTTACGCCCCTATTATCAGAAAATCTCAGTTTCCAGATATATTATGTACTGGCAGTTGGAGGGAAAGCAACATTGCATTCATACATGTACATGCACTTTTAAAGTCACGCATGGCTCCTGTTACGTACCACTCTTTAGTGCATCCCAAGATGCTCGTAACGTTCTGCAAGAGGAAAAGCCGCACAGAAGAGAAAGGGCACGAACCTACAGTTGTGGCAAGTGAAATCTGACTTGTACTGTCGTTCATTGAAGAACTGGGGGGAGGTCAGCCTCCTAGCCTAGACCATTCATATGCATAGACTGTGATAGATACATTATATCTATCACAGTCTATGCACAGTTGAGTAGTCGTGTATATGTTCCGCGCAATATGAGAATTTGCGCAATCTGAGAATACCAGATTGCCTGCGCAATCTGCAGATTGTGCAGGCAGTTCCGTGCAATCTGAGAATTCCCAGATTGCGCAGACCAGGCACGGTAAAACCGCGTGCCTGAGCTTCTGCGAGACTTCTGTGAGTACACCCAAGTACGTGTGGTGCAAAATTCCAGTGTGTGGTTCGTGCAATCTGTGGACTTCTCTCAAAACTTGAAGAGCACAGCGAATTCATGCGGGGCGCAGTCTGCGGGTGCAATCTGTGGATTTCGTTGAAAAAGTAATCTGGCAATCTGTGGCCCGAGTTCCTTGAAAAAAAACCCGAGGAGCACAGCAAATCCATTAGGGACGCAATCTGCGGATTTCTTTGAAAAAACCATGAAGAGCACAGCGGATCCGTTTTCAGCGAAATCGGGCCACAGATTGCCGCCACACGGATTCACTGTGCTCTTCATGATTTTCAAGGAAATCCACACATTGCACCCACAGACTGCGCTCCACATGAATTCGCTGTTCCCTTCAGGTTTTGAGAGAAATCCACAGATTGCACGAACGGCGCACGTGAATTTTGCACCACACGTACTTGGGTACCGCTTGTGCTCCCAGAAGTCTCGCAGAAGCTAACCAGCGTGCCTGATCTCGTGCCACAAATATTATCGTGTCACCGCAGATTG